TCCCACACACAACCCCCGCCCACTCTCCTAGCTCCCCCATGGCTGCTCTGCCTGGCTCCAGTTCCCGGCTCCTCAAAAAAAAAAGCCCCCACTCACTGGGTGCTGCCAGGTGAGGGGGGCATCCCCACTGTCCCCCACTGCCCTGTGCTGCATGGGAGGCTCTGCCATGAAGCCCCTGACCACTGCCTGCTCTCCCAGCCCACCTCCCCCATGGCTGTTCCGCTTGCCCCAGCTCTTAAAAAAAAAAAAAAAAGCATCCACTCACCAGCTTCTGTAGCGGCTGTCAGGGCTTCTAGGGGCTCATGGCAGAGTCCCCCCCACAGCATGGGGCACTGGGGATTGTTCCCCCCCACCACCACCACCTGGCAGCAGCCAATGAGTGCAGGGCTTTAAAAAAAAGAAAAGGTTGGGACACTGGGGCCAGTCAGGGCAGCCATTGACAGGGCTTGGAGAGCAGGCAGGGGATGGGGCCTGTCTGATTTGGTCGAATCAATTCAGGACAGTGATTCGAATCACTGGCCCCTGAATCAGCCAAATCCGCATCCAAAGCGAATACTAGCCACTTCGCGCAGGCCTATTAAAAACCTCAAAGGATGGAGATTTCACAATGTCTCTGGGTAGCCTGTTCCAGTGCTTTACTACCCTCCTAGTGAGAGAGTTTTTCCTGATATCTAACTTAAATTTCCCTTTTGCAATTTGAGCCCATTGCTTCTTGTTCTGTCATCTGCTACCACTGAGAACAGTCCAGCTCCATCCTCACTGGAACCCCTCCTCAGGTAGCTGAAGATTGGTATTTAATCCCCCCTCAGTCTTTGCCTCTCCAGACTTCTCTCCAGTTTCCTCAGCCTCTTCTCAGAAGTCATGTTACCTGCCACCTAATGATTTTTGTTGCCCTCTGCTGGACACGCTCCAATTTGTCCACTTCCTTTCTGTAGTGGGGGGATTTGGGGGGAGAGGAGAGGGAAGGGCCCAAAACTGAACACAGTGGCCTTGCCAGTGCCAAATAGAGGGGAATAGTTAATCACATCCCTTGATCTGCTGGCAACACTCCTACTAATACAGCCCAACATGCTGTTAGCTTTCTTTGCAACAAGGGCACACTGTTAGTTCATATTCAGGTTATTGTCCACTGTAACCCCCAAGTCCTTTTCTGCAGAGCTGCTGTCCAGCCAGTCAGCCCTCAGACTGTCCTGGTACATGGGATTCTTCCGTCCTAAGTGCAGAACTTTACACTTGTCCTTGTTGAGCTTCATGAACAAATGGTGGGAAAATAAAAATGAAGCTAGTCATATGCTTGTCATCACTGCTGTGAGTATGCCCTACCCCATTCCTCCCATTCTCTGCATATATCTCTGTCTTTTTACACTGTAAACTCCTCAGGATAGGGGCCATGGCTTCTATATTTAGTTATAAACTTCTGTATATAGATCCAGTCTGGGGCTGGAGCCTCCATGGTATTGTTTAAATGAGATAAGGCTGTATTGGTGTTGGGTTCATCTATTGCTCAGATGGGAATAGTTCGTATGAAGTTGGTATTTCCTTTCTATTTTTTTAAGTTGTCGTCAGCTCTTCTGTATGCTTTAAATATCATAGTCAATCTGTGATGCCTATTCTTTTGTGTTTTGTAATCCTTATTGCTAATGTCTGGTGTTTTCTCAGAAGCACTTTCAAACATAGACACCCTTCCCTTGCCTTTTCTTGGAAACTGCGCTCTCAGCCTTTTTGTTTGGGTAGGAGGCCATGTAAACAAATGCCAGCCACATCTTAAGTCTTCAGTAGGCATTTCCTCCTTTGTTGGGGCTGGAAAAGAAACTTTCTCACAGTTCAGCATCAAACAAGGTGTATAAAACTCTCTTTTAGAAATGTATTTAGAGATTACGTTCTTGGTATAGGTTTTCTGTTGATTGTCAGTTTTTGTTTTTTCACTTCTGTGGTGTCGTAGGGTATCAACAAGTAGCTTCTGTCATCAGAAACCTCTTCAGACCATTTCAGAACAAAGCAAGATAAAGTGCAAAGCACTGAAATTAATTTTTAAAAAATATCATTGTAATTGTTCTGACTTAAGGAGAAATAAATTAATTTTAAAGCCCTTTGGAGGAAGTGTTGACAAGTTATAAATGATCTTAAGAAATGTAACAACATATATTACACCTCTGTGTACTGCAGCTTATACTATTTTTAAATATACAATATGATTTGTTTTATAATTTTAAGATGAATATCCCGTCTGAGTTTATATAATGGGATATATTTTCATATCAGAGTCAGTCAAGCATAGCTACATAGTTGCCATTTCTAGTTACCTTTGTAAATGGAGCCAATACAATTTACAACATGATTTATAATATCACAGCATAGTACATTAACCAAAATATACTATGCACTTCATTGTAAATATTCCTTAGAAGAGATTAATTCTTGAGGGGCTTTTAATTTATTTACACAGGTTCTGGTATGTTAGAAAATACCTTGGAGAGATTTTATGGGGGGAAAACAGCCTAAAAAATCAATTCCCTCTCTAAGGAAACTGGGTCTGATTCTGAAAACTTTACTGGCCAAATTTTGTCCCATTCAAATTCCTGACTCTTCCCTAAAAAGGGCTTGTTATACTCTTACCTATTCTGAAACTCTATTACTAAGTGTTGTAGAATTTTGCCTTCTGATGCTTAAGTTAATGTCCCTAATAGATTGCACTATTATCTAGAACATTATCTTTTGATGTGCTGCTTAGTTCAGTGTGGGTTAATGCATGAAAAGTATCAAAGACTGAAAAGACTTTTTGCTTTAGCATAATGAGCAAATAGCTGGGAGAGTTTTTCATTCTAGATCTGGAATACAAAAGCTTAATAAAATAATAAACACAATAGTGAACCTAGGTAGAAATTGGGAAACAGTTATGGTGATGTTGCCCCTAAATATTAAACTAACAAAATAACATAATTTAATACAATAAAATGAAATTGGTGATACATGGATCCAAAAAGGGTGGAGTTAAACTGTTCTCAGTGGTGGCAGATGACAGAACAAGGAATAATGGTCTCAAGTTGCATCAAGGGAAATTTAGGTGAGAAAGTTTTTCAAAATATCTAACAAGGGGGGTAGTAAAGCACTGGAACAGGTTACCTAGAGAGGTGCTGGAACCTCTATCCTCAGAGGGTTTAAGCCCCAGCTAGACAAGAGCCCTGGCTGGAATGATGTAGTTGGGGATGGGCCTGCTTTGAACAGGGAGTTGAACTAGATGACCTCCTGAGGTCCCTTCCAACCTTAATGTTCTATGATTCTGTTCCTTAGATCATAGACTCATTAGATTGGTAACAGATTTTGTTTGTAAAATACTTAGCATAATGGGGATTTGAGTGTGATGGATGCCTCCAAATACTACCACTCTGCATTGGTAACAATAATAATAAGTTATTATACATGTCAATGAATTTTATACCATGAGCTACTTCAATTCTAGGATAAGCCACTTTATTTCTAGGATGACTATCAATAGACTGATTTTTATCTAAATCTGCATCTCATGTCCATGGTTTTCAAACAGTTAAAAATATTTAGCAGATGCTTACATTTTTTTAAATCAGATTTCAGTATCTGAATGGACTCAGTGAAAGAATCATATGGATTTGTATTTGTCATTTCTGATATCCATCAGTGTATACGCTATAGCTGAACTTTTCAATTACAGGTATTCGTTTACTCATTGATAGTAGAGTGGGTGTCAACATAACATAAAAAAGGTAACTATAGCATGTTGATAATAACTTCTCTAAAACTTATTTACAGGAGTTTTGGTTTAATTTGTTTTTATTAGGAAAAGGAAAAGAAGTATATGCTCCCTTTGGACAACCTGAAAGTGCGGGATGTTGAAAAGAGTTTCATGTCAAGCAAACATATCTTTGCCTTGTTTAACACGGAGCAAAGGTAAGAAAAATATGCTAACTGCTTTGCAGGTAGACTTGACAAAATGATCAAGTCAAGAAAAAAGGCCATAGTTCTGGTGTTCCCATTAAATGAGCGAAAGTTTATCCATTTAAATGGTCTTGGGTCATCTGTTTTTATGCTATTGCTTTAATCCTGACTCATTTCACCATGGCTTAGCATTCTTCTCAGTATAAATCATCAGTCCTTTCTTTATCTTATTTTTGTGCCACCTGACCGCCAATATTTGCTAGAACATCACTGGGCCTGACACTGGTGAAAATTAGTATAACTCCTGTGACTTAATTGGAACTGTGCAGACTTAGACCAGCTGAGGATCTTCCCATCAGTTCTTCGGCCCCATCAGTCCCTAAGTGCCCCTACTAACTGTGGATTTTTTTCTCAAATACAATTGAATAAAGAATAAATGAGACAGCCCTGCATTTCTAATGTATTATTGTCTTTATTCAGTAAAATTCACCCAACATTTTTCCAGTTACTCTGCATCTTCTGAATGAGGAGTTGTGAAGGGATTGTGCTCCTTCTTCCCCCCACCTCCACAGAATGCAGGTGATTTTGACACCATGTACAAACAGAATGGAGTGGATCCTACGTCACTTCTAGAAATGTGGTCCATCTTCTTGTTCTAAAAGGAGGAGTTTCCAGTTGGCTTAGTGGAGCTGCATGTCAGCAGATAAGATGAATGTTCCATGAATTCTATTTTTAGGAAATTCCAAGTATCTGCAGCAACAATATTCTTTTTTTTTTTTTTTTAATACTTATCTTTTATCTCCTCCTATTATTATCCCACCCTCCAAAGCTCTGCAACATGCTCACTTGCTGTTAGGGTGAGGAGCCCCAATGTGACTCCATGTAGAGCCATTTATTTTTCCTTTGAACTAGCTGTAAGTAGTTATTGCAGAGCAAAGTCGAGCACTCTCCCTGCAATGGCTATGCATGCTATCTCTGAACCACTCCCAGTGGCTGCTGGATCTAGAAACCAGAAACTAAGCTTGAAACTGATGCTAAAATCTCCCCCCAAGAAAGTCTTATGTTGCAGCTGCTAAACTATTAGTTGGGCACATGCTCTCATTCTGTTCTAAATAATGAGCTTTGAAAATGTCTCACAAATGCGTATTAGGAGTGGGGGCAAAAAGCTATTCACTGGTCACATTTCTAGATCATGAAGAAAACTTTTAAAACTTTTTTTCTCTTTACTGAGTTGTAACTAATGATCTGTGTACGTTAAAATGTAAAACATTTTACTTTTCTTGGTACACACATACAAAGATCATGCTAAGATTGCACAGAGATCACTCACTGAAGATAACTGTCATGTTGTATTCTTGCTACCTTTATTGATACTGGATGAAGTAGGGGGTGTGTTTGGCAGGGGGAGGTACGGGATGTACACATGTATGTCGGGCATTAAGCTCTGTTCTAGAAGAGATATACATTCCACAAGGTTGTTTTCTCTCTTTTTTGTTTATGTTTAAAAAGATGTTTATAGCCATTAACTCGTGAAATATCTGAAACAAAATCATTTTCAAGTTCATACATTTTTTTAAAAAGATCAGTTGTTTTTCACATGCATGCATTTTCACTGCATCTTCACGTAGGCTGTGAAAACAAACTTGAAGATATAACATGTTTGCCATATCTGTGAGAAATACTATTCTTTTGATTTTGACTCGGTCCTGAAGCATCTGTAAGCTGCATTACAAATATCCTGAAATATATATGGGCGTGTCAAGACATGATAGGGCGGCGATAAGAAGCCAAGATAACTTTGACTTAATATAAACAGTTTATAAACAGAAACTCACAACAGAAAAAGTGGGACATTTTTGTTCCTGGGGAAACTTATATTAAATTCTAATCACAGTGGCAACTTCATTGCTACTGTGAGGCAGCTGATTTTTCTCCTTGATCTTCCAAAACATCTCCCTTTTGGCTCAAATCAAATGTGTTTTAATATCCAATACCTCCTAAATCTGGGAATTCTGCCTGCAGTAACATTGCAAGGCTGTTGAGGTCTGAGCTAAATGTTCTAGTTGGAGGGGTTTTCAACTGGAGGGTCATGAGCAGAGGCTAGGATTGTGACCACCTTGCCATCCACATTAAGGGGGATAATGGGGGGGGTCTCTGTCTGGAAAAGATCAAGATCCACTGAGGCAGAGGATCTCATTTGTATTTTACACCTCCTTGAAACTGAAGAATTGATTTGTGGTTTCTGTTTTGGGGAGGGGGGAATTGCAGTTAAGTGTCAGTCTACACTGTTTGGCTTTTTTACTATATAAAATTAACTTGGGTTCTTTTCCTCATTGAAAAACTAATAATTGAGCAAGAATTTCCGTTTTTGCTTGTCAAGGATCTTGTAGTGTTGAAGGGTTCCAGTATTTAAATGCAGATTATTAAAGAACAATGGCACAGCCATCTGCTGTAACCTCCTGCAGTAATACTGTGGTCTTTCTATACCCCACTGGCCTTTCTTAATCTAAAGCAATATAACTTTTTTGTGTATTGGCTGTGCAAATGTTCTTAATATGTAAAAATATCCTTATTAAAGAAAGATCTCCTTTCAATCAGATTTTTTTTGATGAGCTGTCTCTCTTTCTCTGTCTGTAATTCCCAACCCCTCACTGCATAGGTATTTGCCATGGCCATATGTTTCTGATACTGTACATTTCAATAGTTTCCTGGATTATGCATACTGCATTTTTTCCATTTATGAAAACCTCTCCAGTTGTGAAATACCATTACTAGGGGAAATCCTAGTTTCACTGAAGAGAAGGAAGGGCCGGCTTGAATTAGGAGGCTGTGGATAGAAGCATAAGGAAACTAACAACGTCTGTCACTTTGATTTACTGCAGAAGTCAGCAGCTCTCTGACAGAAATCAAATGCGACTCGGTAATCTGTACTGAACGAAGACTGCAACAATTGATTTCACAGTAAAGATAAATTCTCATGAAATGAAACATAATTGCAAGTATATGAAAAGCCTCTGTTGTGAAATAATGAATTCAAATTCCTATCTTATTGGGTTCTAAATTAAAATGAAAAAAAAACTTGAATAGGAGTGCTATCCTGCTTACAGGGGTAGTATTGCCTAAACAAGGGGGAGACGAAAAAACCCCCAAACAACCCAAAAAACTAGTTATGCCTTTTAGTGGACCAAATGAATATTAAAAGCTTTAGAATGATTCCACATATTGAAATCATGCATATCACTAAATACTATATGCTCCTAAATATTGCTTCACATGGACTAGGTAGAAGCCTTTTAGAGTTAAAGCAAATGGTCTGATGGAAACTGCCTTTTGACTCACTCACCACTTCTCACAGTGATTAATTGGCATTCATTCTTAAGCAGAGCTCATAATGCCAAGGAGAGGAGGATTTTGTCAAAGCATATGTTCACGTACAGTAGGTTCACATCCAATGGCCACATTGATGAATGAGCCCAAGACTCCTGTGCAAAGTTCAAAAACAAACAAAAAAAATTCTGTCCTTCCCAGAAAGTTTACTTTTCTTCTAGGATTTCAGTCCAAACACTTTGCCCGCTCCCCACCTATTTCCCGTAAAAACTATTTGCTGATTGGCATTTTTTTTCTTTCAGGCAAGTACTGTAACTTTGGGATAAATTCTATAGCCCCAAATGTGCTTCCTTTTAGGAACTGTACAGCAGTCCCAGCTGTCTTTGGCTAATAAGAGGAAGCAGTCATAATCTCTGATGATCTTGGTAATGACTATGGAATTCCAGATAGCACTATTTAATTCAATTTTTTTCTGTGCCACCTTAATATAACACTTTTGGCCCTGTGGCAGAGTATCAAGTCTTTCTTGTTGATTCATCATATTAACAGGCATTATTAGCTTGCATGAAGGTGGCTGAAATTTCTCTTGACTTGTGACAAGAGCAGTTTATTAAAATTTCTCCTAGGATATCACTTCTCCTTTGATTAGTAAGCGTAGGGAGTGCTTCTGCTCTTCTACTGCTGTATGTAGAGAAGGGATGTTCCTCTTCCATTTTTCCTAATCTAATGGTAACTCCTCTTTTCACCTCTCCATTGTCTGATGGAGAAAGGACACCAGCTTGGAGATTTTGAAGCTATGGACCAACAGGAGGAGGCTGGGATCTTTGAGGTCTACATTTGATTTAATTAAGGGAGAAGCATCAGCCTTTGACTGGGAGTTGAATTATCCGGGGGGGGGGGGGGGGG